CATTTCAATAGGGCTTCCCCGAACATGGCATTAAACATTTATGAGTTATGTTTTAACGTAATATGCCCAAATTACAATGTTACATGGTAATTTACAACCCCTTTCTTTAGTCAAGGGGACTTCAAATGAATAAGTGTAAATACAGAAAATATAGAACAATAATTTGCACTGATTCAACTAAAAGATACGCACTTTAATTCAAAATTATCACTATGATTTATAATTTTGTCCGACACATAACTGCACTGAGTGTACACATTCTGCCACCTATTGTACTTGATAATCGATTTGGGTAACCCTGTATGATACAGAGTGTCCCAATAAACATGGGAATTCAGTGACGAATTCGATATCGTCTTTTTAGATAATTCTTTGATTTAGTATAGTGATACCTACTGAGAAAGCTGTAATCTGTAACAGTTTCGTCTGCTATGTTCACATTTTGTTTGTTTATGTTTTGGCTGCATAAGGATGTACTTAGTAAAACAAGAAAAATTACAGTATACAAACAGAGTAAACTTGTCCGTCTTCACTGTTCATCTTCCGGAAACATTATAGAAAAATCTTTACACATCTTTTACCCTTTTCATAAAATGAACTCTAGCAGACATAATAATATTATGGATTTTGAAATTAGGTATTACATTGCTAATTCATAATAAAGACGATATCCAATTCGTCACTGAATATCCATGTTTTTTGGGACACCCTGTATTTATAATAAATACAATGACCAAATTCTATTTTCTGGTTAAAAAATATACAATATTTGATAATGAAAACAGCCCAAAATTAATATAAAATATTTCTAATTAAAAAGTAACAAGTTAATTCAAACTCTTTAAAAGGCAAAACATTGATTTATTTGTTTCCAAATTATTTTTATCATCATTTTTGCATTAATCGATAAAAATGCTATTGGACATTAAATGCATAAGAACTGTGATATTGTTGAACAATTCAAAGTACTTCTTCGGTCAAAGAGTACGGGATTCTCTTCGACATATCCGGCCTCACTAATAACTGCAAGGGTTCAACTTAGAGTAATAATTTTTCACAGAGCAAGCACAAATATCGCTGTCAAATTCAAACTCTGCATTGCTTAATACAAGGCACGTAATGGAGGTACTGTTTTTATTTAAGAATGTTCTAAAATATTTACTTAACTATACTTTTGTATGTTACTAGAATAATTTGTCTGAGATAAATGTGTTTGAAAAGTTCAGGTTCTCAGTTGGCAACTTGGCAACCTTGCATTCTTACTCAACACTTTTTATTCTTTGAATACCCTGCCAATTCGAACCTTTCCCCACTTTTCCATTCATTTACAGGGTTACCCAGAAAGACTCAGACTTCAGAGACGACTGAACGGAATTGTAATATTTGTTCCCTTATATTTACTAAATTCCCTGTAAACTTTTTTCTTTCTTTGTCAAATCATTAATTAAGCCATTTAAATACCATATTTAGGGCAAAAGACTTATTCAACCCTTGGATTGTCATATTTAAAATTTTTGGGTTCGTCTTTACAGTCTCGCCTTTATGGGTAACCCTGAATATAATTCTCAATAGCTTTCTTTTTGTGCGGACTAATTTTGAAGCATTACAGCGGTCATACATTTTAAAATAAATTTCAAGACGACATTTCATCATTTTGCTATGTATTCATATATGTGAGATTGGCTGTACCATGAGGAGAAAAAGATTAAAGATTTTGAATACAGGGTGTCCCAAAAAACATGGGAATTCAGTGACGAATTGTATATCGTCTTTGCTATGAATTAGCATTGTAATACCTAATTTCAAAAGCCATAATATTATTATGTCTGCTAGAGTTTATTTTATGAAAAGGGTAAAAGACTGTAACGATGTGTCTATAATGTCTCTGCAAGATGAACAGTGAAGACGGACAAGTTTTCTCTGTTTGTATACTGCAATTTTCTTGTTTTACTAAGTACAACCGTATGCAGTCAAAACATAAACAAACAAAATGTGAACATAGCAGACGAAACTATTACAGATTACAGCTTTCACAGTTGATATAACTATACTAAATCAAAGAATTATTTAAAAAGACGATATCGAATTCGTCACTGAATTCCCATGTTTTTTGGGACACCCTGTATATTACCTTACAAATACATACAAAACATACAGTTTATGTAATATGTACACAGAGTGCTTAGCGCTCCCTTTTATGAGTAATTTCAATTGTGAACTTCCATGCAAAAATATCAATGCCCGATTCACAACCGTGGTTCCCTTAAAAGCTCTTTTGGTACAGGCACACAACATGACTACAGTCAAGGAAATTGTAGAACAATGTCGTCAATTATAATTAAGCTTGAATAACGAGTAGTTTATTGTAAACTTCAATGAAATTATATTCTTTGCATGAAAATTTGGCTTATTATTGTGTTGACTTAAATATATAAATATTATATTACATGTATATTAAACTTATTTTAAGTAAACAATTAACAATAAACAAATGTACTCTCCTGGATTGTACAAATACCGAGGAGTGTACTGTATATACCTACAGTACACGCCTTTGGTTCGTTATTACTGTACATTAAAGTTTAAATATGTTGTAGAGTAGAACATGTACATTAAAGTTCAAATAAGTTATAGATTAGAACATGTACATTAAAGTTCAAATATGTTGTAGAGTAGAACATGTGCATTAAAGTTCAAATAAGTTATAGATTAGAACATGTATATTAAAGTTCAAATATGTTGTAGAGTAGAACATGNGGGTATTTTCCATTTTTTTTAGTTTTAACTTAAATCGGTTTACATTAGAACGATAAAACTTCTACACTTTTACTAAAATCAAAAACTGTAAATAACTTTTTTTAATTAAGCTACAAATCCAAAATTAGTTAGTTTGAAAATATCTTTAAAAAAGGATGTAATAACGTGTGTCACAAGGTAATATGTAAAAATAAGTATTTTCAAAATTCTAATTTTTTTTAATGAGCTTGCTTAGAAAAGTTGGACTTGGGAAATGTATCACACTCCACTATATCAACTCTAAGGGCAATCATGGGGGGGGGGGTGGAGGAAAACACCCCCCAACACAACACAACAAATCTAAATATATTTAATATTGAATTATGGTAGACGCTAATTAGGCACTTCTTAGGTAAAATGAGCTAAGAAAATGCACAAAAAATGTCAATTAAAAGTAAAAATTTAGATTTTACCTTTTTGTTTAGATACGTTTGTTAATGCCAGCCTTAAAAAATGTAATTCGAACAAATTTTCATGAGCATCAAAATAATCGTCTCTAAATACAACAGGTCATTTTCATCGTCGATTAAATTCTGAATCGTCAACATTCTCATTGCTCGGATATTTGGATTTTCAAATCCCTGTATCGTTGCAACCTGACAATGTAAACCTTGATATTTCAAACTTAGAATATTTGATTTAACAGAATTATATAGTTTGATACATCTAAGGTCTACGACAAAAAAATTATGTTGTGGCAACATTTTAAGAAATAAAAAAAAAATCTCATTTAACTAGTTACGAATACAAAAATCCTAAATCATCGAAGATTTTTTTTTGTACCGAAAAAAAATAGATTGTTTTTCCTTGTTTAAACGTTAGATAGGATCTATCTGCCAAAACCAACATGGCTGAATTTGAGCAGAACTAAAGTAATTACAAATTTTTTTTGGTGTTGTAGGATCATAAAGTTTTTTTTTCAAATGGAAAACAATTGTCCTGACAGAAGAAAAAACTTTATTTTATCATAGCTTACAGCTATGCAAAAACAAACTGTTTCCTCGCCTAATCCGTATATCTTTGTAGCATAATGTCGTAGACCTTTGATATTTCAGATTTCTGCTTTGTGGTCAAATAATTAGTTTTATTTAGATAAAGGAGTGACAAAGTGATTGAGTATTTGCCACAAACGCAAACTCTTATCCCTATATCTTTGCAACCTAATGCTGGAAATCTTTGATATTTCAAATTTATAGATTATTTGATTTAACAAAATTGAAAAAATGAAACGTCTAAGGTCTACAACAACGAGTTGCAAAGATATAGGGATTAGATAATCTGAGTTTGTGGCAAAGACTCAATTCCCATTTCTGTTTGATAATAAAATGATAAAAATCTGATTTGGAATTTAATGAGAAAGAGACAATAAAGTTAAAAACAATTCGAAATCTTGTTTTTAATGAATTTAAACTTTCCATAAGTTTGAACTCAGTAGTTAACGAGGGCTTAAAAATGAAAAGAAATGAAATAAACTCATTAAGAAAACAGAAATTTTAAAAGTTTGAACTGGCCTTATAGAAAATACAGAAATGTTGTTCGCTTTTAATTTTCGGAGAGAATAATTCTATAGAAGACCCCGACCTCACTAAAATATAAAACATTCTTGATTTGAAAATATGTTTTAGACGCTTGTGGTTCCTAATAAAGTGTAGTTTGAGGGACCCTAAATTCAAAGACAATATGAATTAAAATTACGCGTACAGTCCCTTTAATTGCGATTCCTGTATAATAAACATTCTCATTAAGTTTTCTAGCAGAGTTAATAAACTTGGCACTGCAGTAGCATAATTCCAGGCATAAATTAACAAACTTATGAAAATGTGGCAAATTTATAAAATCCTTTATCTGCATTCTGCATTTGTGTATCCTTCACAACCACTTTTCTATCTAATTTTCTATCTAATTTTCTATCTAATTTTCTATTTAATATTCTATCTAATTTTCTATTTAATATTCTATCTAATATTCTATCTAATTTTCTATCTAATTTTCTTTCTAATATTCCGTCTAATTTTCTGTCTAATTTTCTATCTAATATTCTATCTAATTTTCTACCTAATATTCCATCTAATTTTCTATCTAATTTTCTATCTAATTTTCTATCTAATATTCTTCCCCCGGGATTATTGTAGCTAAATCCCCAAATTGACTCAAGTAATGAGTGTCACATAAAGTGTGTTGTTATAGGTGGATGGGGGGGGGGGGCAGGTTGACCGGTCTTCAGGTATATAAACGTAGTTTAACTCTGGTAGAATCAGTCAGCTAGAGACTCTTCTGGAACTAGGTAGGTCGTCAACTACTCCTTAAGCCCCCCCCCTTCTCCTTTATCTGCAGGTTAGATAAACACTTTTTTAAGCTGAAATTGTTCAAAAGTAATACAATTCTTAGAACCTTTGAATATTTTGGATTTACAATTTTTGTGTTACTTAAATTTCCACCTTTCATATGAAAAAAGAAGATATTTTTATGGTATTTAATGATAAAATTTAGCTTTCAAAATCTTTGCCACAAACTTTAATTTTCTAATCCCAATATCTTTGGAATTCAATGTCTTGGACCTTATATATTTCAAAATATGAATTCTGTGAGATCAAACAGTCTAAGTTTAAAATATCAAAGGTTTTCACCGTCTGGTTGCAAAGATATAGGTATCAGAAAATTTGAGTTTATGGCAAAAACTCAATTCTTTTATCTTCCAAAGTATTACAAGAATATTTAATATTGATATGAAATATAATGCTTTGTTTGACTAAAGCAATTCTTAGGCGAAAAATTCAAGTAAACCTGTATTTCATTTGGAAAATTCCTTTCAACCTTATTAAAGTGGTACCATACTGCTATAACATTTTTCTCCATGCTTAAAACGAAATTAAAAAAAATAAAAAAAATAAAAAACCTTTTCTAACCGTAATATGATTTTGTAGATGAAATCCAAACTTTCTTATTTGCCAATATTTTTAGCTCTCTGATCAATATGCCTGGACATATTAAGCTGACTAAGACAGGTCAACCTGACCCTGACCCAACAGAATATCTGTTACCATCCATGGATATGAAGAGAGCTGACCAGCAAAAACCATATGACTCCAAGAAGTCTGTTTGGATTCCTGATCCAAAAAGTGGTGGGTACCGTGAGGGGGCTATTGAGTCTGGAGATCTGGAGGACCCTGCAAGTAAGTGTGTTGTTTCTGTAGGCCATGAGAAGTTTACACATAAGGCATCTGAGGTTGGGAAAGTTAATCCACCCAAGTTTGAAAAATGTGAGGACATGGTGAACCTTACTTTTCTTAATGACGCCTCTGTATTCTGGAATCTGAAGACACGTTACCAAGCCAAGATGATCCATACCTACTCAGGTCTTTTCGTTGTGGTTGTCAACCCATACAAGCGTTACCCTATCTACACCCACAGGGTTGCTAAGATTTATCTTGGTAAGAGGCGTAATGAGGTTCCTCCCCATCTTTGGGCTATTGCTGAGACTGCCTACAGAGGCATGCTTAATAACTCAAAGAACCAAGCTATGCTGATCACTGGTGAGTCTGGAGCTGGAAAAACTGAAAACACCAAAAAAGTAATCACTTATTTGGCTATGGTTGCAACTGGATCTGGCAAGAAATCTGAAAAGAAGGTTTCTCTAGAGGATCAAATTGTTGCAACTAATCCGATTCTGGAATCCTATGGTAATGCCAAAACATCAAGGAATGACAATTCTTCTAGATTTGGTAAGTTTATCCGAATTCATTTTACTGCCTCTGGAAAGCTTGCTGGCTGTGACATAGTTTCCTATCTATTAGAGAAATCTAGGATTACAGAACAGCAAGAAGTGGAGAGATCCTACCATATATTTTACCAACTGCTGCAGCCTTTTGGAGATGGCATTGGTGGTGGGTTGAGGGAGAAATGTCATCTAAGCACTGATATTTATGATTACATATATGTATCTCAGGGAAAAACAACTGTTGCTTCGATCGATGACAATGAAGAGCTTGAGTATACTGAGGATGCCTTTAATGTTCTTGGCTTTGGTGAACAAGAAAAGTTTGATTGCTACATGCTTACTGCTGCTGTGATGACCTTTGGTGGTGTTGAATACAAAACAAAGGGTAGAGATGACCAAGCAGAATGTGA